TTGCTAGAGAACATTGTAAAGCAAGCTCGCTCTCGCTCTCTCTCTCTCTCTCTCTCTCTCACACACACACACACACACACACACACACACACACACACCATGAATGTATCTAATGCAAATAGTTGAATCTATAGCCCTGTCAATACTGAAAATCACTTTCACGTACATGTGTAAAGACAAAGATTCCATATTCCCTATTGCTAGGCGTCTTAGCCAGGGTCACCCTCATAGATTCCTGAGAGTTTCCATGAGATGAATTCTAGAAATGGGTTAATTTAAGATGTAAGAGCTAGCTAGAAATATGTTTAGGCTTTTGACCAAACAGTATTGCGAATAATATAGTTTCTGTGTGTTTATTTTGGGTTTGGGCAGCTGGGAAACAAATGAAAGGCCTCCGCCTACAGGAGCTCATCCCTGAGGGTTAGGACACAGAGATAGGATACCCAGAGACCTAGGAAAGAGCCAAACAAGACTGGGGGGGGGGATAAAGTCAATGAAATGATTCCTAATTATATTCTGCTATACTCATAGTGTGGTGCCTAGTTCAACTGTCATCAGAGAGTCTTTACCCAGCAAACTGATGGAAACAGATGCAAACCCACAGTCAAACATTAGGCCAAGTCTGGGGAATCCTGAAGAAAAGGGAGAGGAAGTACTGTAGGAGCCAGAGGTGTCAAGGACACCTCAATAAATCTCACAAAACCAACTAAGCTGGGCTCAGAGGGGCTCACAGTGTCTGAACAATGAGCAGGGAGCCTGTATGGGATTGACCTAGGATCTCTGCGTATATGTTACAGTTGTATAAACTTGATCTTCTCGTGAAACTCCTAAGAGTGAGAGAAGGGGCTGTCTCTAACTCTGTTGCCTGCTATTGGGACCTATTTCTCCCACCAGAGTGCCTCATCCAGCTTTAACAGAAGAGGAGGTGCCTAGTCTCACTGTAACTTGATACACTATGGCTGGCTGCTATCCATAGAAGGCCCGGCCATATCTGAAGAGAAACAGAGAAAGAGTGGGGGGGGGTGGAGTGAGAGGAGGACAGGGGAGAGAGGAAACTTTGGTTGGGATGTAAAAACAAAAAAAATTAAATAAAAAGTTTTTTTAAAAAATAAAGATATCGACAGTTCTCTTTCAACATAATGTATGAGATCACAGGTTAATTCGTTTCCTTTTTCACATTCATGATATTTTTATTCTAGACAATTTTGAAAAGACTATAATAACAATAGAGAAAAGAATAAATGACAGGCAGTTAAAATCTGTCAATCAAACTGAACATATAAATTTAATAAACAGCATTTGCTATTTCAGTCAATTTCTCTGTGACTGCAAAAATTTTCTCCAAAATCATTTCCTCCTTTAAAAGGTGAAAAGGTTTAAGTTTATCCCTCAAGAATGCTATACACTGCATTCCTAACCCCTGGGGTCCTATTTATAAACAGAGTCACTTCAGAAGTAATAATTTAAGATGTCACCATGGAGAAAAGAGGGGGGCAGAGCTCCTAATCTCCTATGAAGAATGTGCTGGCTAGTTTTATATCAACTTGATACAAGTTCTAGTCACATGAGAGAAAGGAACCTCAAGTAAGAAACGACCTCCATAAAACAGGCTGGAGACAAGCCTATATTCTCTTAGTGGTTGATGTGGGAGGGTCCAACCCACTGAAGGTGGTGCCACACCCCAGGGCAGGGGGATGCTCTAAGTAAGCAGGTTGAGTGAATCAAAAGGAGCAGGCCAGTAAGCAGTGCTCCTGCATGGTCTCTGCATCAGCTCCTGCCTCCAGACTCCTGCCTTGAATACCATCGACAATGAACTGTGATGTAGAAATGTCAGCAAAATAAATCCTTCCCTTCCCAAGTTGCCTTTGGCCATGTTGTTAGAGCACAGCACACGAGTAACCCTAAAGACAGAAACTGGTAACGGGTATGGCTGCGACAGACCTGACCTTGTTTGGAGGAGGACTGCGGAAGGACTCTGGAACTTTAGTCTAGAAAGGCCACTGAGTAGTCAACACCTGGGGAGCTGTTCTGTGGGCGCTTAGAAGATGAAATGTTGAGAGAACTGCAGATGATGGAGGCCTGGCTTGGGAAGCTTCAGAGGGAAGCAGGGACTATCAGGGCTGCTTGTGTTATGACTTTTACAAAGATTTCCATGACCTAATGCAAAGTTGCACGAAGGTCTCTCACCCCCTCTTTCGGAAACCTCGCCGTAAAGGACAAAAACCCCTCCAGACCTGAAAAATATCTGAAAACTCACCAGAGGAAAGGAACTTAAATCTCTGAAACACAGGAGCTTAAACTTGTGTTGGCACATACACACCTGAGAGAGACATTCCAGGCGGTTAGAAGAGAGATAGCTCCCTTCAAAGACACACGCTGCATCCAGGTGTTCTTGCTCACATCTGGGACCCCAGCACTGATGCTGAGGCAGGAGACCTGCCTTTATTTTGAGGCTAGCCTGGGCTACGGAGTAGGGCCCTCTCTCAAACAAACAGGATCTAGTGAGCACGGATGGGTCGCTACTAGAGTGTGCGGGGTGAGGTGACAGGTCCCCTTAACACAGTTCCATTTCTGTCTGGTCCAAACCCTGACATGCTCTTTCCCGTAACCTCAGACATTTGCCTGCTATGAAGTTGCTTTGTCCAGCATGAGCTCTCGAAGGCTGTGTGGATGCCAGTCCCTCCCAGCAAACCCGCTGACTCTTTTCACCTGAGGACAGGAGCGGTTTCTGCGCTTCCGAGTCAGAGCCCTGGGAGCACACATGTTCCTGGATTTGGGCATGTGTTTCCACTTACACTGCTGTGATATGTACACATCCTCAAAGGCGGATAAATATTAGCAAATCTTCTAAGAATGAAAGTCCTGGAGGACGGTGTGGGCTGTGTTTTGATTTAGCTTTTCATGTGTCTGAATCATAGGCGTCTAAAAACTCTTCCCATCTCTCTCTCTCTGAGATAGAGTGATAAGGCCCATCCCACACCCACCACTCCTAACCCACCCCACTGCCCCTAAACCACCCCCACCACCACTACCCCCATTATCCCTATTTTCACAACTGCTACCCCACCCTCACCACCCCACCCTAACCTCCATCACTCCACCCCCATCACCCTACCCCCACCCTTAACCCACCCCCACTATCCCCATTATTCCTACTCCCACAACTGCTACCCCACCCCCACCACCCCTAACCCATCCCTACCACTACCCCACTCCTACCACCCCAACCTCCATCACCCCCACCCCCACCACCTCTATCCCAACCCCTACCACCCCTACCCCAACCCCCAGAGCCCCTATCCTCACCAACCCTATCCCTATATCCCCTGTGCCCCAGAGAGTTCCTGTCTGAACTATTGCTGCCAGTTAGCAGGAGACCTGTGAGTGCAGCCCCTAGGCTTCTCTGGTTCTGTCCCTCCTAGCCAGCCTGTCACAGCTCACTACTTAGGAACTGGGCATAATCTGAACATAACCCGTGTCTCTAGAGCCACAAGGACTTCAATAGCTTACAAGGCTTTGCTGTGGAAGCCCAAAGCTGGGGTAGAGGACCAACAGCCTGGTCCATACTATTTGGCCAGTACACCATTTGGTTTTTAAATTTTAACCCCCCCCCCTTAATGCACTTTTGTGTGTGTATGTATATGTGTGTTCATATATGTGAGTATACATGTGTAAGAATTAGGGAGCCAAAGTACAACCTCAGTAGTCATTCCCAACCACTACCTTTGAGAAAGGGTCTCACTGGCCTGGTGCTCATCAATGAGGCTATCCTGGCTGGCGGGGGGAGCTGGAATCTGTGTAGCTCTACTTCCCAGGATCTGGCATGACAAGTGCCCACCATCACCATGGTTGCTTTTTCACGTGGGTTCTGGGGATCAAACTCTGGTCCTCATGCTTCCCTCGCAAGGGCTTTGCTGACTGAGCCACCCCTGCCCCCGCCCAAAACTTGAACTCCATTTAGGAAAGATTTCCATGATAGAGGGATGCTCTCTAGCTTATGGACACGGATCATACGGATCAAGCACCTCACCTAATACGAGGAACCCTCAATGTCTGAGTGCAGATACTGCTTTGCCTAGAGTGCCCTCGCTAACCCACTCCCGTTGTACATGCATGAGTATGCCAGCAGGTGCCATATAGTCCTCTAAGGAGACATGCTTGCCCGGCTGGTTTGGGTCTCTCCAGCATGCAGGCTATGGCAGGTAAGAAAGAATATTTTCAACATGAAGAAACGATTTGAGCCCCAGATGTGAGCAAGCCTGTTTTTAAAACCCTTGGATGGAAACACAGATGATCGACAAACTTGACACCCCCACCCCGCCACCAAAAATAGACTGCATGGGAGACAAGAGAATGGAGACTCTCCAATGGCCCTTTCCAGAACTGCTTAACCTCATGGACAGCCCCAGCATCCCCTGCCATGGCTGCCTCTCCAGACATGGTTTCTGAATCAGACACAGGGATATGAGCGCAATAAAAAAGGAGAAAAAGTAGAAAATTGTGGACTCCAGTCCATCTTTTCCAAAGAAAAGGCATCCTCCCACATGAAAGATATTTGGAGGACAAGAACTCAGAATTATCAGCCGACATTCCTAATATCTCACCATCATTTCAACTGGACCTGACCATAGTTCCCCTTGTTGCGTGCATGACTGGCCCAATTGGCCTCAGTGAAGGCCAGAACATTCATGGGACGATCGGAAAAGAACGGGCATGGCGGCCGATGACAAGCAAGCTGGTCTCAAGAGACACCTGGTGTTGGTTACAGACCCCACCCATGCTATGCTCACCACAAAGATGGACAGCTTTTCAGGACACCCACCCACCTCTAGGCCAGACATGGCTTGGGTAGGAGGATTTGAAGTACACCAAAGCAAACGAACAGGGCAGGTCTGTGTTGAAATGGGTATAAGAAATCAGCCTGCCATCTTTGGTGGAGCTGAGGACCCAAGGCTATTTCCCGTGCATGCCAAGCCAGACGAGAGTGAGATGTCACTTACCTTCTGAAAAAAGTCTTCCCCGCTTCTGCCTTTTCCTTCAGCTGCAGCTGCCGATAAATAAAAAAGAAAATGCACTTTTAAAATACGTCCTTCGTTTCACCTATACTCCAAACCCTCAAGAACCAGCTCTACGAACGCAAAGGAAGAAACAGCGCCACCCTGGCCTCATCTGGGATGCAAAATGAATGAAGCATGAGGTATAAAAATCTCATCAATTACACAGCTTTGGATAAGTGAAGACCCACGAGTCCCTGTCTCCATGCTGAGAATAAAGTAGCCCTGCCCTTCCACGGTAACAAAGTTGTGAGAATGGACCCCAAAATTAAAGCCATAGTCTGTGCTCCCCACACTTCCCAGCTGTAATGGATCCCAGGCATCTAGGCACATCCAGCATTGCCCACTTCTAAGCTGGTTAAGTTTTATGCTCATGCGAACTGCAGTTTACAGGAAGAAAAGCGTTATGCCTATATTGGCTATTTGGCTAGAACTAACTTGATGTAGAGACTTGGAAAGTTTGGGTTATCTTTAAGTCCTATTAATTCATTGATGGTGCCTATGTCTGACCTAACATCCTTGTGATTATCGGGGTGACGCCTTTTGTGATGTATTAACTTAGCTTCCACCAACCCCAACCAAAGAATGTTCTCAGGTAGCATCTGAGACCACAGCAGAGATTCCCCACTTTGATGTAGCCCGTCTACCTATATTTCACCAAAGCCCTTGAAAAGGTACCTTGGTAACAGGTGTTGGTTCTGGAACTACAAAGCACTTCACGAAACCATTTCCTGGGGCAGGAATCCCTGTTCCTAGGTTAAGTCACTCATGTTCAGCTTGAGAATAAACTTACTCTCTTTGAGGTAAGGGCTGTGCATTGTATCAAACGGTGTAACTGAGCAAATGCTGTATGGGGAATCTCAGCTGATCTCTCCCACTATTTTAACCCCCTCTTCCATTCACCCACATGAGGGGAAACAGAGCAATGTAAGAATAAGAAATGATGGTAGAGGTCAAGGCCAACAGTAACCTTCATGTGAGATAAAGGGACTGGTACAGCTAGAGCACAGTCCTATCTTTAAACTTCAAGTGAGATGGAGGGGTAGTTACACCTAGAGCCCCTTCCTAACTATAGGCAGTCTAAAAGCAGGAAGCCCAAGTTCAGAAGATATGGTGACCCAAACACCTACTCTGTGTAGCCTGTTTGCATGTGTTTGTGCATATAATGTGTATATGTGCACACATGTGTATATATAAGTACATGTCCATTTAACCATACACACACATGTATGATGTGCATATGGATATGTGTGTGCACATGTATTGTATTTGAGTATGAGGACATGTGTATATGTGGACTATGTATAGATGTGTGCATACACACACGCCTATATATGCTTATGGCCATATGGAAGGACATGTGTGTCCACAGGCACATGACCATAGCACTTGTTAAAAATGACGTAAGACGTATGAAGTGGGATAGAGCTATCCCTGAAGAATGACACTTGATCATTAAGTTTTGACGAGCACCTACTACGAATCTGTCAGGTGGAAGTAACAACTGATAAAATTTAAACTGTTCTTTCTTCATCTCAAATCTCACAACTACCTATGTGTAAGTGATTATTTTTACCAACATATTTTTATCAAAACAACAAAACAGAATACACATGCCTGGGAGTTCTGAAGGGAATTAGAGGAAACATGTTGAAATACGAGCTAAGAAGAAATAAAAATTTTTATTCAATGTGTGGTGGGTTGAAATAATAGAATAAAGATGCCCACGTCCTACCCTCTGGGACCTGAGGCCATGTGATCGTCAATAGATAAGCGACCTGGGCTATCAGAATAGGCCACCACATCCTTGTAATAACAAAGTGGGAGGGCCAGAATACACAACAGCATGACAATAAAGGAGATGGGAAGAAACAAATGCAGAGGTCAGAAAAGAGAAGGATTTGAAAGAGTAGGTGGGAACCACCAGAGAAAGAATACACATGACTTCCAGAATTGGAAGTCAAAGAAAGGCAGGATTCCTACAGCCTCTGGGGGCAACGGCTGCTAACACCCTAACTTCAGCCCAGAGAGATCCGCTGCAGACTTATAACCTCAGAACTGTAAGGTGACAAATGTAAACTGTGCTGGGCCACTAGAATGGCCGCAGTTTGCCACATCAGCAACAGACACTAATCCTTCAAGTCAATACCTTTCTACTCCGTTTTTGTACCAACCCCACAGAGTCAATGCACACTCAGCAGATGCTGCCAGAGAGAAAGCCTCTGTGTACTACGGAGTAAACTATCTCACTTGGAGATAGGTCAATACTAAAAGAAGTAAAACTGAATTATAAACAACTAGTCAACCCCAGCTGGAGGGTCTGAAGGGTTTTCTCCAGGAGAATAAAATGGACATCCAACCCTAAGGACATAAACCAAACAGCAAATGTTCTTGGTGACATTGCTGCCGAGTCAGAACGAAGTCTTCACTTGAGGTTAAAAATGGTTGAAAAGGGATGTTGTACTCACTGACACCTTCATGGAAATAAAGAAGCAAAGAAGCAAATACAGCAAGTTTTGAAAGAAAATTAAGTGACATTCAAGAGTTTCCTTAGGGAAGGAATATTTAGCATCTCAAATATTTTCCTATATCCATATGGGGGGGTGCTTTAACTGGATGTACTTCTACACCACAAGAATCCACAAGTGTCAGCTCCCTGAAGCAAAGGCCTTCTACTATAGATGTTTCCTTCAGGATACGCCTCTACTCAGGACAAGCTTGCCATGATAGAACCTCAAAGCACATTCAAACAACAACAGGGAAATTTCTGTAATTAGAACCAAAATAGAATGAACCATGTTTTGGAACTGGGGAGGACACTAAAATTTAACCAAAAACACATATTGTTAGCACGCCTGGGGTTTGCAAAGAAATAGCAGGCTGGGGGAACCACAAACAGATGTTCACTGCCCTTTTTGACTCTGAACGCTTATGTGGAACACCCCCACCCGAGTCTACAAGGCCATAGACAGACGGGTGATGTGCAGGTACTACCACACCCTCACTATGCCAACTCTTCCCTGCATATCAACCCCTAACATAAAGCTTAATCTATAAATTCAACAGAGTAAGAGATTAACAATTAACAGGTAATCATAAAAGGAACAATTAAAAACCACACTATGGCTATATTTATTGTAGCAAATATGATCCATCAATACCTTCTGATTGGACTCAAGCCTCTTGCAATGACACGGATTGTCACAACACCCGTGTGAGGTGATAAAGCCAGGAGAATGTTGTGGGCCTTGTCACACGGCATTAAGCTACTATTTCCGGTCCCTCAAGTGTAAGCTCTGTGGAACCATGAACCTACCTGACAACCGAGATGGTGGTCTCCAATGGGTGGGTTGTGCATACGATGTGGATACACCAGAAAAAAAAATGATTATGCAAATCCCAAGAAGGGTCATGCCACTCAGACGGGCGTATGATTCAAAACTTAAATGTTATCTATTTCTAGAATATCCCATGTGGAACTTCCAGATCACAGTTAGTCAGAAATAACTGAAACAACAGTAAGGGAAGACAACTGTACAAGAAAAGACAGATGAGCCTGGCTCTCCTGAACTTCTGATGTGTGTGTTTCCTAAGCTACTATGGTCAAGGCAAAACGCTCTGGCTGGATTCTTGGTTACATCACTGTCTCAGATGTCACCTAGGGCTCATTACTCCTGTCACTTCCTAAGAAGTATCTGTACTTCAGCCTGAGGTCACCGGGTCTCCTTGGGGACCTCTACTGACTCTCAGAAACACAACTGTCATGGCTGGAGACGTCAATCGAGAGAGGACATTTCCTGTTTTCTTGTCCCTCAAACATAAACCCTTCAGAGTTCCAACTGGAGAGTACCCCTCTCAAATGCACCCTACATCCACAGTATGAAAACCCCAAATTGCTGCCAAGAAGTTACAGTTGGAGGGGAAAGTGGTGAGATCAACATGGAATATTTTTCTCGGTGTAAACTCAGACATTTGACGTGTTGATTCCATAGACCCAGGGAAGGACTGAGATTGCTACTTTCAGTTCACAAATATCCGGGTCCTGTGCCAAGGAAAAGAAACAGTCAAGTCCCTACCCTTATCCAGTTTATACCCCTGGCCATGGAAGAGCCAAAGCCACCCAACCAGTGAGGCAAAACCAAAACCACAACTCAGCTCTAGCAACAACCTTCCCAAAGACCTTTGCAAACCCCCAGTGCTGTCCAGATTAAACTTTACATGGTTTGATTATTTCTCTTCTTGTAATAGAAGCTAAGTCCTTCTGCTCTCTCCCCACAGGGGAGCAGGGCAGCTACCGCTAGCACTGAGAAGGAAAGAGAAAGACTTTGGGAGGGCCACCAGAGAGCTGGATTCCAAGGGAAAAATAAGAAACACAATACGATCATGACCCAAAGCATTTCGTTATGTTTGGACAGGAAGATGTTACCTATAAAATAAGCCAACCTATGTTCTCTGCTGTGGGGTTTCTCAAATGCTGAGATCTTGTTATATTATGTGGAGAAACGACTCTCCCTTGGGTCTGCAAACTTACACACGGAGACTTCTTTGTCCCTCTCCCCCACAGCAACATGGAAAGTGCATCATAATTTAATGTTGTATTTTATTAAGTCACTCTTTTTAGGATCACTCTGGCATGATGTTCCCAGTTGGATTTTTAAAACCTTGGCTTTTTTCTGGCCAGCAAAAGCAGCTGTCTCTCTTCTTCTCTTCCCAACACACGACACCAGGAACAAATTCCTTCGATACTACTGAAATATGGCCGGCTGAACATCCAGGTAATGAGTTTTGTGTTTTGAGCTGAACGATTCATTTTTATGTTTATTATAATTTCTCCAAGGCTCTGCCATGTTTTATTTCATATTTTTGCCTCACAAGAAATATGGGATGGCAAAGCCTGTGCCAATAAAAGCGGCAGAAGTTGAGACAGGTGTAAACTATTACCAGAGCTGCCCCCCAACTCCAGAGCGCTCCTGGGTAATTACTGAATTA